TCAACCATAGAGACCATGCATCTGTCTCTAGGGTCCCCACCTCTGGCATGCATGTGTTGGGCGGCATCTAGGAAGCCAACGGGTACAACAGAGACCTCAGCTGGCAGGGCTGCCAGGTGCCCTGGCTACCAGTCATGCAACCAAAAGCAACGGTCATGTTATGACCAGGTCCACTAACATAACTTTTGGAAGCATGTAAGATACGGACATACGGGCAGGGCTACCAGGTGCCCTTTGTAAGCACAAAAGCCATATTAAAGAGAAAAGCCACAGGTGCAGACAGCACATCGAGGTTCCTCTGTCTTTATGGGCGGCTGCAAACTAGGCAGGCTGGTGCTGTGCCTTCACCCATGCTGTGTCTGACATGGGTGAGTCTGGCACCCTTTGCCAGTACTACATTCTGAAAGTAGGATGAGGAAAAGGCAGGAAGAAGGCGGCACAATCAACTTCCAGGGGTGTGAGAAGAGTCTGGGGTCTGGATCTGGACAGCCGTATTTGTGGCTGGTTTATCATTCAGCCAAAGAACATTGCTGCTTAAACATTAACTCTGACACGGGCGGGCAGCCTTGTGGGGACTGAGAAACAGCCCAGCCCCCAAAGCCTCTCTGCTTGTGCTGACTCTGGCCTGTTATTTAGGGTGGGCAGAAGCGCTTTTAGCTTCCTTCCCCCATACACTATAACGTCCTACGGCAGCGGTTCTCAAAAACCCTGGTCCCACCATGATAAAAACAAAACCCCACAAAATTGCACTGTTTGAGATATCTGTTGATTCATCTGTTTGAAGTGCAAACAACCAATTTTTTCAATTGGGCAAGAAGCCAAAGTCCCACCTACACGACCTTTGCATCCCACCAGTGGGACGTGTCCAACTGGTTGAGAAACACTGTCCTAAGGGATACTAAAAGAATGGGAGTCATCACGCTCCATTCCTTCTTAAAGTGCACTATTTCTCAACCCTTTTACACTCAAGGCACCTTTTGGAAAATGCCAGCTCTTAGCTTTCACACATTTTTTGACCACAGAAAAAAAATACTGCAATTCCTCTGTTGCAAAGAACTCAGAAAGACCACAGCGGGCTCAGCGTTTTTAGCACTCTGGATTCCTATTTAAAATATCTAGGTTTACCTTGTGGATCATGTGTAGGTGCTTGCACACCTACCGGTGCTAATACTGTGCAACACCTTTAAAAGAATCTCGTGGCACCCGAGGGTATCGCAACACCTTGGTTGAGTATCACTGTTATAGTGAATGGATGAAACTAAGAAGAATCCGCTGCACGGCCAGCCTCTTTTCAGTCCCTCTCCACAAAGATTTGGAACAAGCAGCACAAAGAGGCACAAACGGCACCTGCATCACTACTGCATGGGTAAAAATACCATCACCCCGGACAAGCAGCAGGACTGCATCCATGTCCACAGTCAGCAATGAGCACAGATCCCAGTCTCCCCACGTGGCCTGTGCTCCAGAGAGAGGAGCACTGCAATGAAGGAGAGTCTGCCTGCCCAAGCCAGCTCCCTCATGCCTCAAGCCAGAGGCCAAACACTCCTGCATCCCTTCTAGCTCACCAAGATGGGAGGGTAGCTTTAGTGTTTCATTGCTTCACTTCCTTCTATTCCCCCTGGTATAAGGAGTTACCCCATCAGTTGACCACATGGCAGCAGGCTGCCATGTCTCAGCAAGGAAAATCCCAAAGGCAAACTGTGACTCCATCCTTTTGTCCCCCCAGCTCCTGAGCAACAGGGTCATTTTGTTTGCTCCACTGTCAATGTGTAAAATGAGTCACACGCCTATGGAGAAAAAACACAAATCCAGAAAAGGGCCTGGGCCAAGTCTCCAGATCGGCTCATTCCCAAACGTTGACACTGCTCGGACCCAAAACTAAAATCCGTGTCTGGCTCCCAAATCACCAATAGCCTGAAACTAGGCCTCAGTTCTGGTAGCCTCCAGCCTGAACCATTCTAGCCTTCTTCTTCCACAAGCTTCTCTGGAGAGCTGGAGGGACCTAGGATTTCCCTGCCGGATCACCACACTGATCCAATGGTCCCCATCATTATGCAACGGACAATTTCTCAAGCTGCAAAGAGGAGGTTAAAAAATCCACCGGACAACTAAGCAAACGCCCCAGTGCTTTGGAGATCCTTACACCTTGAAACCTACTGGTTAACTGCCCGTGTCACGGGCTCAGCTTGCTTACCTACAAACGCTAGTGCTGGTCATAAACCCTTGCACGTTCATTTTAAATGTAGCTGAAATCTGCGCCTCAATGGCCCCCTGTGAGCCTGAATTCCCCTGGCTGAACACAGGCTGCTGCTCCGCCGTCTCCCGAGATTCACCGCATGCATCCTGTTCAGCAGCCCCCAGGAGTGAAACGCAGACCTTCGATGTGGGGTGCAAAGGGGGACATGACTTTCCTAGCGACTCTGCCTCCACCTTTCTGTGGGTGCTGAGACCCCAGTGGATCAGGGTTACCCTCCACCCGACTCAGAGTGGATTGGTGTCAAGCACAGGCAAGGCTCAGACTGCTCTAAGCAACTGCTTTGATTAAAAAAGACCCTGACGGGAAAAACAGGCCCAATCCTGAAAGCCTTCCATGCAGTCAGGGAGACCTGGCAGTACTGGGCTCTCCGCTCCTTTGTGTTACGGAGGGAGGGGAAGCAGGAGAGAGCCCAGCCTGGCAGATGAGAAGGGGCCTTCCTGAGGCCACCTGGATGCTTGCACTTTCAGGGCCAGGAGAGATACGTTTACAGAGGCTCTGCCTCCAACATGCTCCGTGGGCCCCCTGGGAAGGGGAAAAAGGCTCCCATTCATCAGCAAACAGACGGCTCGCTTCACAGCAGCTCCCAGGGCAGACTCTGCTCGAGATGGGGGTGGCCTGGGGGAGGGGGAGGTCTATCATCAGGTGCCCGTATTAAAATACTTGCTTGTAGCCGAGACAAGGAGCACGTTGTTTACAAGACATTCGCAGAGGAGCTCGGGGACAGGTGGAGAACGGAGCTCACCGCCTGACCCCTGCCCTCGGCTTTCTGGAAGAGAGAAGATGGCGCTGCTTTGGGGCTGGGTTTCCATGTAGCTGCCCCAGGATGCGCGCCATTCACCAGATGTATTTGATAGCCGTGTTGGTCCAAGACAAAAAGAAATGCAAAACTCTAGAAGTCTTGGTTCAGAGATGATACTTTGCAGAAAAAAGATTTTTTTTTTTTTTGATTTCTTAGTTGGTCTAATAAAAGGTATCATCTCTGAACCAAGACTTCTAGAGTTTTGTGTCTCCCTTCACCAGCGCACTACACCTGCCTCAGGAAAGCCCTGGGAGGGATGCTCCCCAGGTAGCGCAGACCTACATCTGCCAGCCAGCAAAGAGGCATACCTCCTACCCACCCGCCACCCCTCCCCAATGCCCTGCTGATGTGGCCCTCTCAAGATGTAGTGTTCAGGCTGCTACACGTCACAAAGGATGCCACTGTCCCAATGGCCTCTACCAGGAAGGAAACCCTGCTTGCTTTCCTAATGTATCCAACACAGACTAAGCTCCCTTTCTCCTCTGCTATCTGAGTTCTAGCTCATCCTGGGAGAACATCTCGCAGATCAAAGTAGGTACAAAGACTCCTTTCAGCCCAAACCCTAGCAGGGGAGGAGGTGTAGGGCAGGTTACTCAGCAGCAGTCCCAGGTCTCACCAGCATTGCCAGTAGACTCCTAGGCAGATCAGCATCCCCTGTACCTCCACCCCCACCCCATCAACTGAAGAGTACATGGGTTTGCATCTCTCTCTCTCCCACTCCCTCCCTCCAGGCTGAATCTTGGTGCTCCTTGTTTCACTTGGCAGTGCAGCTTATTCTCTTCTCCTTCCTCTCAATCAGCTGCTCCCTCACCCCTCTGCTCCGCAGCCTCATGTTCTGACAGGCCGCGGGAAGATTTTTGCCACAAGTTGGGTACAGCCGGCCTGGAAGTGAAGAAAGGTAGGCTATAATCCCAACCTGCTGTGTGACCTTGGACAAGTCTCTTTCTGGGCTTGTGCCTACACAGTTCAAGAGATCTGAGTGCAGTATGTGACTTTAATGTAGCTCACCAATGTACCAATGGCAGCAAAGCCACAACGGCATGGGTTTTATTTGAGCAGCCCAAGTTTGCCTGGCACCGTGGGTTTTACTGGGATGGCTACATGGGGGTCTGTGCTGCCGCACCCTTGTGGCTATTGTACCACGTTAGTAGTATCCTGATAGCACCTACATATTACGCTGACACCTGTGACTGCCGTGTAGACATACCCCGATCCGCTCCCCCTTGTCTAAATCTTCATGGCAGCGATGGCCTCTAATCATGATCTGAACAACACCCACCCCAGTGCGTCCCTGCTTCGCGTTGGTGCCTCCAGCAGCGGCGGCGAACAGTTGGCCGCTTTGGGTGGGCAGGGAACAGAGAAATCCAAGCAGGGTGGAAGTCTGGGTTTGAAAGGTAGCCCTTGTATGTGCACAGTAGCCACTTGTCATCAAGATTTCTTTCCCCGGCATACTTGATACGTTTTATAACGCCCTAAATGCATATTTACACACGCTGTAGGATTCTGGTATGTCGCTGGATTGCTGAGCGGAGAATATAAGAGGCTGTGCAAATAGCCTGGGTAAACTATGCGGAGAAGGCAAAAACAAAGTCATTGATAAACTACAGGTGGGCCTCAAATGGTGGGAAGATTAAGAGGAGGCCCCACGGAGGGGAGCTCTGGCAGGGGTCTCTGTAAGCTCTGGGTCTCTCATTGCCCAGGGGCTGGAGTGTTATTACTCATAACATCATGGGGCTTTAGTCTGCCTGCGTTAGACCTCACCAAGAGCTCTGTTTGCTGCTGGCCACGCTGTCAGTGTGGTACTGAAGAAGGTTCCCCATAGGGAGTTTTCCTCTTTCAGGCAAAAGAGGGAAGTAAAACCATCCCGGGCCCTGCCATTAAGTTGCACCTCTTTCCCCAAGCCACACTTTTTCTGGAGGCTCGTGTCCCCTCGGCTCTTCTACTTAGCCTTTTCCGATGCCCTCTGAGCCCCAACGTCAGGTCAGAGGCAGGCTCTGAAAGCCCGACATCCAGATTTATGCCACTGGTCTCCTGACTAGCCAGGGATACCAGGTGTCCAGGAGGTGACCTGCCAACCACACAAGTGTGAGGGATTTCATCGGCTTCAAGACATCACCCCTGGACAGGGGTGTCAAAATGACACCTGTTGCTGACAAGGCAGGGGCCCAAAAACCCCTCCGGACACCTGTTGGAAACCGGTCTAAACATTCAACAATGAGGAATCCCGGATAAAGGCTGTGTTGTGACACTTGGCCCACACGGAACGGCTTTAACTGCTTAGGACCATGCTAGAAGCCAGTTGGACCTGGAGTTAATCTCCAGGTGAAATGCCTCACTGAACCAGAGTCCACGGTGCAAGGGGAGGACACTGCCCTGCTAACGGCTGGTGTACAGAGGGGATAAGCATTTCACTGCTTGAGACTATCTAGAGGAATTCACTGTGAGAAGGCAGACAGGTGATTTGGGAGCTCAAGGACAGCTTCAGGCCTTAACTCCCCTTGTGATTTATATAGGTAGCAGCATGAGGCTTTATCACATAATCCCCCGATACGATCAATAATACCCAGGTCTGTCATGCAACCAAAAGCAACGGTCATCTTGTGACTAGGTCCACTGACATAACTATTGGAAGCATGTAAGATATGGACATTTCTCAGGCTTGTAAAACACTCAAAAGTTCTGGGGCTGAAACCTTTGCAAGGTACCTCAAGCTTTATCATGAGGATCTAAATAAATCTGACCTGGGAATGCCCACCCCTAGTTCTTGGTAAATTGTAGCAGAAGCCAAATCATGCTCTTGTAATCTGTTCCCAACAGCATATCTATTGCAAAGTGAACCCAGGCTGAAGTCCAAGTCAAGAGGTGAGGGTCTGTGGAAGCAGCACAGCTACCATATTTTCTCATGTTACGAGCACGTCAAATCACTGGTCAACAGTAGAATGAGTTTAAAAGTTTCGGGGCAGCAGCAATAAATACCATGTGTGCTGAATCGGATCATGGGAGGCAGGGAAGGGGTGTCTCAGTTGTATTTTAATTAAACACATTGCCAAAGGCTGGTTTGGTTGCAGGATCTTATGATGCCTGATATCCTGAACCCCAGGGAGGACACAACACATTATTGGACACCAAGCTTTCTGCAGCTTAGCAGAGTCCAAACAGCACACGAGCAAGGGCTCAGCAGCTGAAGCCTCCGCGTTTCTCTATAAAACCAGCATTGAGGGAAGACTCCAGCTAAGGAGCGGTTCTGAAGTCCAGACAACACAAGGGCACTGGCCCCAGTGACAGAAATGTGGGAGGCGCTCATGTGGCCTCCATCACAGCAGGCCTGAACACCTTGGTCTCCACCTCACCTTGTGATGGAGGGCAGGGCTATCATGTCCACTTTACAGACAGCAGAGGCATAACCAGAGAGTCGTGAACCAGGGGGCAGCGGTTCTACCCAGCCAGCAGCACAGCTGCTATTTTTGTGCCCCCCACCCAAGTCGGCATCTGGGGCTTGTGCCCAAGGCGCTCCCCTTAGTCTCCCTACTGCGAGGCAGGCTCGCTTCACCTCAGTTCCCCATGGACTAGCCCACAAAAGGGCTCGAGCACCTGCCACTCTAGCAGGGACCACAGCTTTCAGCAACACCACTCGGTGCATGGGGAGGGTTAGACACCTAGGGGAGGAAACCAGAATAGTCAGGAGCCACCTGTGCCACACAAGAAGAAATACCGAGGCCAGGAGTATGTCCCAAAAGCCACGCTTCTGCGGGACCACAGCCGTGCCTGAGTTGCAAAGCCCTGCCAGTGCCAGCAGAGCTATGTCAGGCAGGGATGTGGAAATATTAAGGTACAAGGTGTGGGCATTACTCTGTCAGCACCTCCACTCTTTAGGGGAACAGGCACAGTTATGGTGGCAGAAAAAACTTCTGCAGCAGAGAAGCCTCTTCACCAGGGGCCATGGCCACCTCAGCACCCAGTTGTCACTGGAACCGCAGCAGCCGCTGAGCACAGCCAGGGCCAGAGGTGCCTTGCTCTAAGCAGCAGGACGGAGCCTAAAGCCCTGCACTCCTTTCTGAAAGCAGGTGCCTAAACCCTTCCTTTCAAAACCTGAGCAGACCTCAGTCCTTCAATTCAAAAAGTGGCCAGAGGAGGTGGAGCAGCACCCACCGTTTTATCCAGTGGCTCAGTGCCCAGAGCCTTCACCCGGGCACAAAACTGAGACGATTCAAACCCCTCAGAGCCATGGAAGAGCCCGAACCACAAAGCTATTTGCTCTCCGTACCCCGAGGGGCTCACTCCTTCTCTCCTGCAGCAGCTCT